TTTTTTTTTTTTTGGTACTGGGGATTGAACTTGGGTCCTTGCACTTGCAAGGCAGGCCACTGAACCGCTGAGCTAAATTCCTGGCCCCATCCAGCTCTTTTCTACCAGGCCACAAAATAGCACAGGAATTTGACAAAGAAGCAGAAGTGTTAAACTGTTACGGATGAGAAAATGTTAAGTTAGGAGGGAACTGTGTGAGGAAGTCCCTAAGGCAATGAGGGGAATAGTTTTGGAAAGGGTAGCCTTGGACAGAAGAACCACCGGAGGGGAATCTTGGTTAGAATGAAAGGTAAGGATAAGTGGAGAAGCTGGGAGGCACTTCTGGGGGCTGGCTGGCTGTGTCTTCTCCATCATCTCTAGTGTTCTATGACAATCTCTCTTCTATGACCTTATAGCTCCTTCTGGCTTGTACTCCAAGTACCTGCATCTCCCTAGACCAGAGCTTTTCTTTTTGGCACCAGGGATCGAACTCAGGACCTTGCACTTGCTGGCACAGTGCCAGTGAGCTAAATCCCTGGCCCTAGATCAGAGATTGTGAGAAGAGGGACCAGTTTTGTCTATGTCACTGTTTATACCCACCCCTGGCAAGGCATCACACTCTGAGTAAATATTCCATTGGAGAAGTATGAGCGAGGAAGGAGGAAGAGAAAGCATGTTGAGAGTAGAGTAAGGGTGAATCCTCCGCATGGTGACTTTGGAGGATATAGTTCTGTTCTGAAGTACAGGGGACAGTCTGGAATGAAAGTTAATACAGTTCAGGTTTCTCAACATACCTTGACCTTTGATCCCAAAAGGTGGCACAAACTCCCGGATCCTAGCCCATTTGCGAAAGGAGTCGTCCAGGAACATGGGTGCTGGCTTGGAGAACCTGAAATGCAACAGGGCTTTTGAGGATCACAAAAATGCAAGACTGGAGTACTGGTTGGTTCCTCTGTGCAGCTTTCTCACCCAGAGGTCTGCAGGAAACCACCTCCACATTCCAGCACGTCCTCCCAGCCCCAGCCTGTTCACTGGGGACCTGCTGATCTTGCCAGGGGAGCCTGAGTGCGATGGAGCAGGCCTGGTCAGTCTTTATTTGGCTAGCTGTACAAGTGAAGGGACAAGATCTGCTCAGCAAGGCTTAAAGGCTCAGAACTGGAAAGTTATCTCATATCCATCTACAGTCAGTGTCGCCTACTTTGTTCCTCCAATCTGGAAACATGGGATAAGACATAGTTCAGTGAGAAAACAAAACAAAACAAAAAAACCGAGACACAGCCAGTGCAGAGAGACATCATTTTGGAGATGATTAGACCACCCAGGGTGAAGAAAAAGAATTCATGGTAAGAGGGCAAAGCAGGGCAAAAGTTACAGGAAACAGATGTTTGGTATTGAAAAGAAAGAAAAGCCAGAGTCCTGTGAATAGGAGGTGGGGCTGAGAGGTTTCAAGCCAGCAAGAATCCAAACGCATTTGCTGGTGAAGAGAAGGGGAGAGGGACCCTAAGTTCCTGTGGAGGTGGTGAAAGGGCTTGGAGCTTGAGGGGAGGGGTTCATTTTGGAGAAGAGACAGGAAGAATAAGGGGAGAGAGGAAGGCAAAGTGATACAGGACTGGGGAGGCAGGAAAGGCAAGTTTCACTCTTTGTGAAAGGCAGCATAGGTTTCAGGCTTAGAAGTGAGGCAGAGGCAAAGGTATAGGGGCCAGGTTCTTCACAGATGCTTGGATAACACAACTTCACAAGGAGCCTAGCATCTGTCTGATGCCCTTTCCAGGGCACTGGCAGCCCACAAGTGCTGGGTCTTACTGTGGGCCTGCTCCTGGCCCAGAAGGACTATGCACCCAGGCCTCAGAGCCTGTCTCTGAGATTTCTAACTCACCCCAACGAGCCCAGTGGGTAACAGGAGGCTACAAAAAGGTCCTCCAGGCCCAGAAGCTAGAACTTACCCCCACTGTACTATAGCCACAATCATCTGCTTCTATTCCTCACCATCACCAACACTGTGTTACCACCATCCCAGCTGGAGTGAGGTCAATAATTGTTCAGGTCTAATAGTCTTAGACTTGGGTGTGATCCCAACTCCCCCAGGACTTGTTGCTAGGAAGATGCCATCAGTCAGCAGCAGTGATGCTGCACAATGGCTTTCTTTGGCTTCTGGGTGCCAACAGCTGAGTTAGTGTCCTCCCTCTGTGTATGAGGATAATGCCTATTTCTTATGCTTAATATTCAAAACCTAAGTAAATTAATATAAGTAAGGTTTTACCAGAGGCACTGAAAATTCTGACCAAGGTCTATGACAAGACCCTGTCTCTCAGAAGAAACAACTTGGATACACTTGTAGCAAGGCCCACTCCTTCTGTATCAGAATTGGGTTTATAAAATCTTGGTAAAATTTCCGAGTCAAGTTTAGACTGGATTTTATCTGCTTCCCAAAATGTACTGAATATCATAAGCTAATAAAATCTTCTAAGATCTAGCCGAGTGATCTCAATCTATTTTTCCTTTTCCTCTCTCCATTTACCTTCTTTTCTACATTATTAGAAAGTTAAATTTTACTTAAAAAAACTGGGCAGAGTAGCACATGATTATAATTTTAGAATTCTGGGAGGCTGAGGCAGGAGGACCCTAAGTTCCAACCCAGCTTGGCAACTTAATAACTTAGTGAGGCCCTGTCTCAAGAAGTTGGGGGAGAAAGGGAGAGAGGTGGTGGTGGTTAGGGTTAGTGCCCAGTAAGGAGGGGGAATATATATTTATTGTTGTGTAACCTATAATGTGTGTTAACTTTGGGAAAATATAGCTAAACACAGATACACACACTCATAACCCTACAACACAGAGACTATTTGCTGTTAAAGACAATGAGCTGTGTATCCTATAGAGTTACCCACATTACACATTCTCCTAATATACAAATTTTTTTAGCATGTTCCTCTGTCCTCTGTGCTCTGTAAACTGATGGTTAGAACTAGAGGCTCAATCAGATTGAGGTTCGATCTTCTAGCAAGAAGACTTTGTAACAGTCTTCTATCGTATATGGTTTCTTTATTTCTTCCTGTGCCGTTAAAGATTAATCACTGTGTTCAAGCATTCTAGGCTGGAGCTTACCAAATTTTGCACAGCAGCTTTGCACAGAATGCCTTTAGCAGCCACTGAGGATCATTGCTTAGATTCTCCACTCCTTCCTCTCTTCTACAGTCCTGGGACTTGAACCCAAGGCCTTTGCTCTGAGCTACATCCCTATCCCTACTCCTCACCCATAACTGGTTGAAAATTTTTTGAGCCAAGGTCTCACTAAGTCACTGAGTTATCCAGACTGGGCTTGAGCTTATCCTCCTGCCTTATCCTCCTTGAGCGCTGGGGTTGCAGGCCACCAAATCCAGTCTTTCTTTAGAGATGCTAGAGTACTCATATAAACTTTCATAATCTTTCTCTCAACTCGTGGTTATCTTAAGGAGTTGGTCATACAGGAAAGATGAGACAAATGCTTGATTTTTCCCTTTTATTTGTCAATTTTCAAGATGCTGGGTTGATTCCTTAGTATCCTCCAAAGGTAATTAGTCCCCCCTACTTTTTTTTGGTACTGGGGATCGAACTCGGGTCCTTACGCTTGCAAGGCAGGATCCGGAACCACTGAGCTAAATCCCCAACCTATTTCCCCCTTTTAATTACCAAGAATTTATATATTTGAACATATCTGATATATGGCATATCCATTATCATTAGTGCTCTTTTCGATGCTCAAAGAATTCTATCTTTGGCCAGTGGGGCCTTTCCAGCTTGGCTCCTAAACCCTTTGGATATAGACCCTAGTAATCTTTGTAATGTCCTAGCTTTCTTGTATGAAAAGCTGTTCCAGGCTTTTATCATATATTTTGTGCCCCTACCACTTTCCCAATGAGCAGAAATGGTATGGAGAGATCTGTGCGTGTGTCGCTAGGGAGGCTCATACTGCTACGTGCTACCCAGGGCTTGCAGGCCTTTCAGGTGGACAAAGCTAGGAAGTAACTTTTTTAACAAAACAAACAAACAAACAAACAAACAATGTGCATTCAAATTTGGGCTTACAAAATTTGTACTTACTTTTTCTTTTTCAACAGCTTTATCGAGATAATTCATAATAGCATAAAATTCATGTTTACTTTGATTTTATATCTGTATCTCTTTTCTCTTAAGCTGATCACCTTGTGACATTAACACATACTTAGTTACTTTATCTTAACATGTACATATAGAAAATATATATACTATCAGAAAACTATCAGCATTATTATCAACACTATCTATTAAAAACAATTTAAGGGCCAGGGATTTAGCTCAGGGGTCTGCTGCCTGCCTCATAAGCACAAGGACCAGAGTTTGATCCCTGGTACCAAAAAAAAAAAAAAAAAAAAAAAATGTAAGGCCTCTTTGCAGTTCTTTTTGCCTTACATACTTTTACATCCTTTATATATCATCAGAAGTACAAATAACCTTCCTTTGGCGCTTAAAGTAATTCTGCTGAGTTTAATTCATCAGTAATATATGGTTACATTCATATGTTTCAAGTTACTTTTCTTTGTTTCTTTCTCTTTTTTTTTTAATTGAGACAGGATCTTGCTAGTAGTTCAGGCTAGGCTTGAACTCACTATGTAGCTCAGGTTGCCCTTGAAATTGTGATAATCCTCCTGCCTCAGTCTCCTGGGTGCTGGGATTACAGTATGTGCCATCACACCTGGCTAATTCTGCTTTTTGTGTTTTTTTGTTTGTTTTGGTACCGGGATAGAACTAGGGACCTTGCGCTTGTGAGGCAGGTGGCAGCACCAATGATCTAAATCCCTGGCCCAATTCCGCTTTTTATTGACTTTTTCCCTTCAGTTTGGTATACTTTTGTTTTATGATACTATAAAGATTTACATAGTTCCCAAATTATATCACAAAAGACTGGGGGCTAGAGATTTAGCTCAGTGATTCCGGCGCCTGCCTTGCAAGCACAAGGACCTGAGTTCAATCCCCGGTACCAAAAAACAAAACAAAACAACCAAAAGACTGTATTCAGACAAGTCTCACCTTCATTTCTATATCTATCTTCTGCTACCTCTATCACCATGTAGTATTCATTTTATTAGTTTTTTTATACTTGTTTTGTTTTGCAGTACCAGGTACTCAGGACTTTGAGCTTGACAGCCAGGCACAGCGCCACTGAGCTATATCCTTGGCCCTATACTTGTTTTTTTGATATAAGCAAATAATACATATATATGAACATATTCTTATTTCTTGCTTTATTCATTAAAAGGTAACATATTATCATACTGGTTTGCCTATTGATTTTTTCCACAAACTAAATATACTCTGGTGATCACTGCATAGTGTGTGTGTGTGTGTGTGCGCGCGCGCGTGCGCGCGCGCGACTATGCTTGATAATACTCTATGATGGCTGTGCACCATACTATACTCAATCAGTCCCTGGGTTGTTTCTAGTGTTTATTGTAGAGTAGGTCCTATCAGTAGTAGTTACCACAAATAACTTCACACATATGTCTTTTCTATTTGCCAATGTATCTTTGGAAGAGATTCCCTACAAGTGGGTTTGCTGGATCAATAGGAAAATGCATATATGAAACTTTGCTCTAATTGCCAAATTCCCTACCACAGGGACTACAGCATTCTGTAATACCACCCTCACCAACATTGTTAATCACTTCAATTTTGCTATTCTGATAGAAACAAAATAGCATCTCATTATCCTTTTAATTTGCATTTCTTTTTGTTGTTGTTTTGAGACAGGATATTTCTATGTTGTTGAAGCTGGTCTTGAATTCATGGGTTCTCCTGCTCAGCTTCCTGAGTAGTTTGGGACTACAGGTGCATGTCACTGTGCCTGCTTTGTATTTTTAAAATAATGAGTGAAAT